TTTCTGAAAAACATCTGAAGCCTCTGTGGTTAAAAGAAGGGGGACTAGCATCACAACTGAAAACAGTCACCACCGAAATACTGTCATTTGCAACCATCCTTCCCTGCCCACTTAGCCCAAAGCCCCGTCTCCTCTGCTCTGCTCCTAGCTGTTGGCACCTCTAGGCATACTGGCCAGGCTGTGTACATCCGCGGTAAGAGGCGCGGTACAGCCCTGCTAGAGGCAAGAACACCCCTCCTGCATCCAGCCGGCCGGCACGAGGCAGGTGGCAACAGTAGCTGTCGGCTCATTCAGGAAAGAAGCAGGAATAAAAACGCCACCAACAGGCGAGTCCCCGTTCCCACCAGCCTTCACAAGACGGCGACGAGGGCTATTGCATAACGGCAGTGGCGCGGTGGGGAGAGGGCGCCTGTGTGCCAAGGGGCACACGAGTGTGAGATGGACAGACACAATTCTAGATGTCTACCATTAATCCTCCAAGGTTCGTAAGCCCCAAGCATACAAAAGACTGTGCAAATAGCATTTTCTTTTCCTTAACTCCAACTAAGAGGGTGAAGAGAAACATGTTAGCTTGTATAAACCAGCGATGTGGGGTAGGGGAAACCATTGTTGAGAAGCTAAATTCTTTTTCCTTCAGTGTACACTTTTCTCTTTGCAAAAAGTGCCTACAAGGCCAACCTCAGGGTGTGTGACCTGCGTGGCTGCACAGCGTCCCACACTTGGTTTGATGTGCTGCTGCCGCAGTCTTGAAGTTCTTAATTTTTGAATACAAGGCACTATGTTCTCATTTTGCACTGGACCCTGTAAATTATGCAGCCAGTTCTGGTCCTGAGTAACAACTACCCTAAACGAGAAAGGCTGCCCTCAGTTCCCCCTCCTGACCTCTTAGCCCATTTTTAAAAAAGCTATTAAGAGAAAATTTGTTAAATCCCTCTCTCTACAGCCCATTAAAAATGGAAAGGAGGTCCTGACTCCCAGCACCAACTCTCCGCACTGCATAACCAAGCCAGTCACCACTCCCCAGCTGCACAGATAGAGCAGCTTAAGTAGTTTATTGTTACGAAAGCAATGTTACCCTTCCAACAGGAACTGAACACACGCACGATCAGCAACCTAGAAGTATGTTTTCACCATCATTTTCCCTTGATACTTTCACTCTAAAATTGGATTTTTTAGTGCCCTATGTTACTTTCATCCGTTTTTAGAGTTTCCATTCTCAATAACTAAAGATAAAACTAACCCAGAACCACAGAGCAATCATGGCAAAGTTAATTAGATATTGTATGATTTAACATTTTACCTGGAAGAGGACGAAATACAAAACATCTGAAAAGCAGATTTCTTTTGCTTTAAGGATGAAGTTTATGGCTTAACAATGTTAGTCTTGAGGAGACGGGCAGCTTGGTTCACGAAAGAGTTAAAGCAAAGGCAGCTTTTTATCTAAATCTGGGCCTACTCCGGAGGCCTCTGCTTTTTCAAAGCTCAGGGGATGATTAGGAAAAGAATACTCTGAGCAAGTATTTTTAATGTGAAGGGAAAGCGAAACATAAACATGAAACTTTACTGCACATCTTTATAAACAGAGAAGCTGAAGCGACTAGCTTTTCTAGCTTGCCAGAAGCTAAAAGCTCCCGGCGCCCCACTACCAGCCATTGCTATTCAGGTAAGAACTACCGGGACAGCAAGTGCTCCACTGTCTGTGTAACAGGCAAGAGAAACATTTACAAGTTCTCGAGGCAGGCTGGACTTGTGGGCTGCTTTACTTAGCAAGCACAGGAGGCACTTACTATCAACCACTTTTGTAAGACAAAGTCTTCAAATTGGAACAAACATTACAGTACAGAATGGCAAATCTGCTCTAAACAACTTTTGTTTAGAATCACCTGAGTACAATCACATTCCCTGCCCTCTAAAAGTGTATTCCAAATTATCATTTCACATTTCGTGGGATTAACTAAATGATTGTTCCTGTACAAAATTTTAAGAAAACAACTTTAGAATTTGTTCAGTTATCTGTAACATAATCATGTTCAATTTAAATCAGACAGGGCTCACAATAATTATAAATGTCACAAACCCATGATCCCAGTAGATCTGATTCAGCTTTTTACAATTTTGAAGTGCTTTGTATATTCCAAACAAAATCCGAGCTATAATCAAACACATTGTTTCTGGTTTAGCTAACTTCCAGCTAAGGCCACAATTAAACATGTATGTTAAACATGGGATAACAAGAATTAACCTTATTCCGCTAGACACAATAAAGAGACAATTAAGTCCTACTTTTCCACTTCTTACCTAAGTGAGGAGGGTGCTGGAAACAACAAGCCATTCTCTTGCCCCGACCTCCACAAGAGAAAAATCTGTGTACTATTTTAGTATTTCCATAAACTCACTTAAAGCAGATTACCTACAGTTTAGGCCTGGCCAGTAACAGACCTTGTTATCACAAAATTTACTAAATCTTAATCCAGATTATAGACAGCATTCAAGAGATTCATGTTAGAAAAGAAATCATAGCAAATGCAACACTACGGTTGAGAATATAAAGATATTAGACAAGTTAAAAAAAATCCAAATATATAAAAATCCAGGTTAAGTTAATTGTTAAAAAAAAGCAAAACAAGCAGAACGCAAAATTAGTAAGTAACAGAACTAACAGGAATGCTAGGAGACTAGTTAACATGTTCATGAAAAACAAGATATTGGTCAAAAAAGATCAACCAAAGAGAATTCCTAACTTTCATAACCAGTCGCCAGCAAAAGCAGGCGCTATGTCATGGAAGCACTTTACCCTACAACAGCATGAAACTTTGCGGCTCTGCGCTCCTAACAGCGTGCTGCCTGCCTGAGGGGCGCGGTCGCCTGCTGCGAGTGGTGCCCCGCCGGGCGATCACGTGCCGCTAGACGGGTGACATCCAGAGGAGGGACGGGCCTGCTCTTCTCTCACCGGACACCATGGCAGCAGAGTCATGAACTGTGCTGGTACAACCATCCTCCCAGTAACAAGGTTAAAACCTTGAGCCACCTCCACCTCTTTCTCTTGTTCTACCTCCAATTAACCTGCCAAGTTCTGCTCACGTTACTCCCACAGTGTTACGTGCACGTATGTTATCCCTACTTTGCATTCCTGTTGTCACTGTCCTGCTTCCGGACTCCTAACATGACTATGATTTCTGCACCTCTCCACCAAATCCTTTAACTTCAATTTAAAAGGCAGTTTTAAAAGCTTTACTCAAATTCTTAAAAATTTCACTGTTTCCTCACTACAAATTAATTCTAGCATCATGGGTCAGCACTCCAGCATTCTACGTCCACTGCCTAACTCTAGCCCCTTACCTCCAGTCTCCTAGTACTTTAGTAGCAGTGTTTTTATCACTGAAGTGCAGTCAGTTTACAATGCTGTGTCAATTGCTGGTGCACAGCATAACAGTTCAGTCATACATATAATATATATATTCCTTTTCATATTCTTTTTCATTGTAGGTAACTTACTAGAGAATATTGAATATAGTTCCCTGTGCTATACAGTATAAACTTGTTTATCTATTTTATATATAGTAGTTAGTCTCTCCAAATCTTGAACTCCCCATTTATCCCTTCCCCCCCCCTTCCCCCACTGGTAACCATACGTTTGCTTTCTGTTTGTGAGTCTGTTTCTCCCATCAACAGATGACTGGATAAAGAAGTTGTAGTATATTTATACAATGGAATACTACTCGGCTAAAAAAAATATACCATTTGCAGCAACATGGATGGACCTAGAGACTGTCATACTAAGTAAGCCAGAAAGAGAAAGAAAAATACGACTTGATATCACTTATATGTGGAATCTAAAAAAAAGACAAATGAACTTATTTACAAAACAGAAACAGACTATCTCCTAGTACTGTCAATAAACTTCCCACATAGTCCCAAGGTGCTCCCTCCTACAGGTGTGCTCCTTCCCCACCCTGATCCCCATTTCCATTTCAATTAACTATCTTTCAAGGTCCAAATCAGATGCTACTTCCAAAAGCCTTGCTGGGTTCTGGTCTGGCTGAAGGTACCTTTCTCTTCCTCTAAACTCGCACAGTTCTTCACATACACTTACAACTCAGCACTTAAAATTGGTTCTGTATTACAGTTATGCATCTGTGTGCTTTTACAATATTGTAAGATCCAATTTATCTCCATAGTACTTAGCATAATGCATAAACCACCTATAAGCTGAAAAAAATGCTTGTTAAGTTAGTGAATAAATCAGCCAATCAGTATTGTGGGCAAACAGCCCAGTTTTTGCTGGCATGATTAAACAATTAGCATCCATGAGGGTGACTCTAAATACTCAAATGATTAGATTCTATTCAATCTACTGTTTCACAAGGCAAAAATAAGAATAACATTTAGAAACACTACCATCAAAATGTTTAGGATAAAAATCAACTTTGACACTAGTTTTCCATTACCTAGAAAATTTACTCAACTTGAACAATTCATTACCATCCAGATAAATACAGATACATACTCTTAATGAAGAACAGCACCATATGAACAACAAAAATAACAGCACCACAGAGACTGAGAAACTACAGAAGCCCATCTTGCAGTGTATCAGGAATAGCTGTTTAAAATACAAGTCTGAACATGTCATTTCTTTATCCTTAAAAAATTCTTCAGTGACTTCTTAAACTTCTTAGCAAGCATCTGAAACATCAACTCCGCTTTTCTGACATTATCATCTCCCCAAACAACTGTAACTGGTTCTCCCAACCCTTCGTAAACTCCAGATTCTGTTCCTTTTGTGCCACACCATGTTGGTCTGCAGCTGAAATGTCCCACTTCATCCCTTCCTGCACTTTCAGGGCCAGCGGCAAGCTCGCAAGCTTCCTGTGACAGCACACCTGTGCTTACCCACCTGGTCACCACGACTAGGCCCGCGCAGCTGCATGCGGGCTTTCGCGGCCTCTGGGATAGCACAGCCTGGCACAGCTGTTAGTAACTAAACCTTGACTGCGTGGAAATCCCCTTGGACTACTGCTTTATTTTTCTCTCTCATTTTAAACATAATGACAAGAAACATATCAGCATGATCCTTTTTCTCTTTCTTTCGAGGCTCTACTTGACAATGAGACAGACAGCAAAGGCAGCGGGGAAAAAGAAACCCAACTTAATTCCCAGCTCCCCTCAAACTGGGGCCTGGGCTAAGCCAACAGCTTGAACCCCCAGCACATACAGTCCATACACCACTTATTTGCATACTGTCCCGCAGAGTTCGCTAATTCTGACAATTTTACATGTGTTGTGAGCAACGCTTTCCTAAGGTCTCCGACATCGGGGCATGGTTCACACCTCTCACATATCCCACGTACAGCCTCGCCTGGAGAAACTGTCCAGGTATTTGGTTTAATTAGAAGCTAGTTTGTTCCTCTAGAGTTTAATTATAGTAGAAAATCAAAATTTTCTTGTACTCTTTTAGGCTGAATGAATCACTAGAAAAGCATGTAGTTTCTTGAAGATGCAATACAGTAATATTTAAAAAGACACCACAGAAGATACTCATGAAAAGACAAGTAATTTAATACATCTTGAAAAGCTTTCTCAGTCCTGTTTTTCCCTTTCCCTCAGCAGACAGCGTTCCTTCCGCATTTTCTACAATGACAGAATGACTTCCCTAGCGGCTCACACCCAGTCCGCCCCTGGCGCTCCTCAGCACTTACTGCCGCAGGCCTCTGTGGCCAGTGCCGCCGCCACCGGCAGGACCGGAAGCAGGCAAAGAGCCTATTAAGCAACGTGCCATCTACCGTTCCGCTGAAAAGGAACCGGTATGAGAAATAAAACAAATGATTTTGCTAAAAAAAAAAAGAAATGTGGATATATTGCATTAGTGGTATTGACTAAAAGATCTAGCACCAATTTTTAGTTATTTTTTTCTCATTGGAAAAGTCACTCTTCAATTATAATGGTGGATCTGTTGTAGAATGCTTTACTTCCAAACTGTCAGCATGGAAGTGTTCTGAAGACACTGAGACGAAGCAACGCCCAATGTGTTTCCATACGTAAAAACATTTTTCCTGCATCGATTTTAAGTAGCTAGAAAGTCCCAATTTAGTTTAAATATCCAAGGTGAGCATTTGATTAAAATATATGGTCTACAGATAAACATCTGAAAACAGTGAGTAAAGAAAGTTCACTTGCTGCCACAGAAGAGTTATAATTTCTAAAATATTACTACTGTTGATTCTACTCACTACCAGTTTCTAAAAGAAAGAGTCACTTAAGAGGAGTGTTTCCAGTTTGTGGACAGTGACCTCTTAGTGGGTAGTAAATCAATTTACTGGATCATGACCAGTATCAATTTTTAATGAAAAAGAGTAAAATAGAAAATATTAGAATGCATCGCACTTAATTCAGGTGGGTGAACGAGTGAACAAGTGTGTATATGTATGAATATGAATTTGTACATAAGGTCAAGACGTAAAACGAAGTTCCAATAAACATGCTGAACACCACCATTATTTTTTCTTCTTTTTAGGAGGTTACAGATTGCTATGCTATCATAGAACAGCATTGTGCAAACACACACTCATCTTACTGATATATTTCCTTTCACAACATTCTCCCTACTTGGACTTCAATTATTTCCCTTTCTTTACCTATTAAAAATTCACTGTTACTTTGACCTCAAGATATTTTCGGGGGAGCGTGGGGGCATAGCTCAGTGGTAGAGCGAATGCTTAGCACACACAAGGTCTTGAGGTTCAATCTCCAGTATCTTCACTAACAAAAACAAAAACAAAAGCAATTTTTTTTGTTCCTGATTGCAGCTAAGTTGATAGAATATACTTTGCCTTAAATAA